AGTAGCAGGCAGCAGCAGTAGTAGTAGCCAGCCAGCAGCGTAGTAGCTAGCAGGCAGGAAATAGCAGCATCGCAGCAGCAGCAAGCAGTAGACAGCAGCAGTAGTAGTAGCAGCAGCATAGCAGCAACAGCAGCAACAGCCAGTAGCACAGCAGTAGCAGCAGCAGTAGTAGATACATATAATGTAACGGAATGTAACCCAAACCGAGGATAGGAATTCCTGTATATTCCGTTTTTCGTTCCTATGGAATTACTAATAATGCATATAACATGCTATAATATCGTATAACTATGTTAATATGAGCATGTGTGTTGTTTGAGCGAGGGCCCAGAACATTCTAAAATATATCATGATTATTATGCACCGCTCGTCTCGTCGACGTGACGTCACGCGACCGCCCAGGGGACATCCGGGTACCTCGGAGCCCGCCAGTACTCGTTAGCCTGGATATCAGGTGCGAAACTCACCTCACGACTGCCCGCCACCAGCGCCGTCATCGTGCCAGGGCCGTAGCCGGCGGGCGTGGACGCTACTCGACCAAGATATGTGGGCCAGAAACAAAATAAATGTAGCTACAATGAACTAAAATAGGCCGAAATTAGTTGTAATAAATAGCAACGCCGATTACCGACATACTGTACGCCATATATATATATATATATATATATATATATATATATATACATGTATATATAAATATATATATATATGTGTGTGTGTGTGCGCGCGCGCGCGCGCATGCGTGCGTGCGTGCCTGCGTGCGTGCGTGCGTGCGTGCGTGCGTGCGTACAGCAGCTCTCATATATAGCAAGCAGTCGGTGCGTCTAGAGATTTGTGTCGAGGAATATTGAGATAAGACAGCGCAGGCAGACATCGAGATCGTTCTGACCACAGGCCCATGGAGGCTCAAGTTTCAAGTTTCAAGTTAACTTAGTAAAAGAGCGAAGCGCTTCGCAGCGAAGAAACTTGAGCCTCCAAAGGCCTGCATCGCTACAATAGCCGGTTGCTTCTGTATATACAAAGCCTCCTCTTCCGGGATGTGTGTTCGACTCTATATATGCGGAGACACATGCCTCCCTCAGAGCATGTCCGCGTTATCTTAATATAGTATCAGTATGCGAAGTATGCATCAGCCAACTCTGTTGTATTGATATACAGACTAGAGTACGTCGTATCTAAATCTCTAGTCGAGTTTTTGATTTACGATTCTGTGCGGCTATCCGCGTAAATAATTGCTATGGCCGCGGGGCGTACAGGCGGCAATCGAATCGTATAGGCCACGGCCTAGTTTTCTGTCGGAGGAGGTGACTGTTACGGGGAGGAGGGCGGAACACACAGCGCCTCTCGGCTAACCTGTGACGTTATATGTCCGGTTGCGGCGTGTTCTGTGATTTTTGTTAGTTGACATTTGAGCTCATTATAGTGTTATGAGTGTGTGTGCATGCGTGCGACCATGCGTGTGTGCATGTTAAGGGGGGGAGAATATACTATATATATATTATATATACCCGTATGAAAATTCTTTTTATAATCAGGTTTATTTTCTTGACATGTTTTTTAATGAAAATGTTTAATAATATATTATGTCTAGCCATAATGATCAAGTTCTGTTTTTTATCATGCTATATATATATATATATATATATACAAAAGTTCTCATACAAAATCCTAAACGGTGTTAGATTATAATTATTAATCAGAAGTTGTTTGTTTCTTTATAACAGTTTGTCTTGTACATGTTCTCTATTTGTATTTCATATGTAATGTTAATAATGTTGCGGTATGACTTGTAATATTTGCCGGGTATGTAACATAATCAAACAGAATGTTGAAAGCATAGTTTCCTCATTTGCAGAAATCGCAGAAATGACGGCGGAAGTGACTAGAATTCATGCACAGTGTGATTTTTATCATTTTATTAAGCTATTTATACATACAGTTCCGGTATCTTAATTAATACTGTGCATAGATATTTGTGTTCAACAAACAAAATGGCGAGCTTATAGAGCTACGTCAGAACCAATCAACCCGGACATTACTATGTAATAGGTTCATTTAATTTAAAAAAATAAATCAAGAATGAAACCATATCGCGCCTTGCTTTTGCTTCTAATCTTGATTTCACGAAGTCACATAAACCCTGAACACCCGATAACGTTTAAGCCACAGTCGCACATGTCACTACTATATTTAGAGGTTACACACGAACCCTACAATGAAGGAGCAAAGCTTACAAGCACACAAATTTAAACGCCAATAATTGTATTACTCAATCCCCCACTCAGATATATAAAGGTCGCAAATACGCGGTTATAACAACTGTTGTCTTAAATTTATTCGAGAGAAATGTTTTTAAAAACGACCGTACAAATAAAACGCATCATATAATCCAACTTTCATTTCTTATGTGATATTTTCTACTGATGACACGACACGTATATTTATATCATATCACTCTATTCGACTCATATATATATCATATACAGGAGTTATCAATATAGAAAGATAGATAGATATATATTATTATATATATTTGATAGACTCCTGATATATATAGGAGTATATAGTATATATATATATATTACAGAGAAAGAGCAGAGGAGAGACGAGAGAGAGAGAGAGAGAGAGCAGAGAGAGAGAGAGAGAGAGAGAGAGAGAGAGAGAGGAGAGAGAGAGAGGACGAGGTTCCGAAGGTGCCGGTGCAGAAAGCGACTGATCTCCATGCGCGAGCGTGTGGTACTGCACTCTCCGAGAAATCAAAAGCAGAAGCATGATTTCTATCTTGCAGGTGCAGAATGCTGTACGGTGATGAATCACAGTTGCGAGCGCGCCCCACAGAGCAAGAAGGAAACGGAAGCGCCACGCGCGCAATGCGCGCAGTCCAACCTTCAGCGTCACGGTCTGGCGAGGGCGCGTCGCCAAGCGGATGAACTTCACGACTACTATTTCAGGATTCGTGACGCCGAACAACAAACTATCTTCGTCTGCACAGTCTAAGGTCTGGGCTGCACGAACTGGACAGCGAGTGTTGCTCGCTCTGGCAACACGGACCCCTCCCAAGGACTCACCGCCGCGACACTCGACAGATTTCTCGTTCACTACAAGACCAACTGGACCTACTTAGCCGCCTACAAGGCGAAAGAGCGTCAGTATAGACTCGACAACTATTCAAATTCCTCTCGTGAGGAGTCCCTACGCAGCGACTGCTCTCGCGTACATGAATAAGTTTTGTGTGAGCCGGAACCCGGTCTATCAGGAACGTACGTGCCTCTCATCGCTCGCATGTACCGCGGCGGCAACAACGCTACCGGTGGCGCCATCGCGCGGAACGAAACGGTAACCTTTGGCGAGTTTCTGAGGTACGTGTCCGACCCCGTGTCGTACACTAACGATCCTGTCGTCGGCCGCTACCGTAGGGTCGGCCACAACCCGCACTGGGCGACGGCGGTGAGTCTGTGCAACCCGTGCCACGTCGACTACGACTTTGTCGGCATGTACGAGAATCTAGAGCACGAGGCGGCGCTGCTGCTCAAGTTGGTCGGCCTCGACGATGTCGTCAAGTTCCCGACGAAGATGGACACGCAATACGTCGGCCCGTCGACGCACAGCCTGATGCGTGAAATGTACAAGAACATTTCTGTCAGCCTGATGCAGCGAGTGACGCAAGTCTACGCAGCCGACTTTCACGCGTTCGATTTCGGCGAAACGTGATGATCACCTATATTTATTTACGACGTACATTATATCAGGAGTGAATAATAATAAATTATTATTATAATCTATTATTATTCACTCCTGATTATATTATTGGTGCTATCAGAAAAATCAGAACAATCTAGTATGTTATTTCTATGCCAGCGACGCAGGCACGCGCGTCGTGCAACGATGTATCATTTTAATTATATTTGTAATTTTCAGCTGCAATCTCCTTTCTGCACTTTCATTCGTCATTCTTTCACGCGTTTTTTATATACTAGCCGAAACATCCACATGTGCGTAGTAGGATCAGTAAGCAAACACTTTTTTCTTCAAGTTATAATAATTCTAAAATGTCATAACTTTTGCTGTGTAAATGTTATTGTATTTTTGGCGCTTCATAAGGAAAAAGCATGACACTTCTGACACTGGGTCACAGCGTTAGAGAAAATTAGGAAAAATTACGAATCAAAAAAATATAATAAAATATACAAAAGATGTGTCATGTGTGTTATAGTTTTCAATAATAACATTTTATTTCAATTTAATTGAACCACAAAAGTTGTTTACAGCATATTCTTTCCGTGTAATATATATTGCAAGGTATATAACAATGCACACAGTGCGTACTAGAATTATTAATAAATTATTATCAAATTATAGCGGTCCCCACCGCTTTCTTCTGCGCCTTTTTTTATACCGTCTCCATACAATCTACATATTTACAACTCTTAAGAAAAGCTCGTAATTTTCCTTGCACAGCGACATGATATTTGATAAAGAATGAGCATTTCTCCGTAATGATTGTCGCCCCGGTACGAATCGCCACGATGCACGCGTTTGCGTTGCTGCTTATAGAAATAACATGTCAGTCTGAGGTGTGTGCGTGCGCTCGCGGAATGGCCGCCCCAGCCTCTCCAGATTGCAGGATACGAGATATGGGTAGATCCACCGTAAGCGTCTATATCCCACACGGAGACACCGACCGCGGTGCATTGCCTCTCACGTGGAAACGCCAGATAATACCCGGCCCGCATAAAAACGTAGTTGCTAGCGGCGGTGTAACCATGTCCTGAAAAAATATCACACACGCACCTATATGTGCAACGCGGGTACACGTACACGCGCCTCTTGTTTGTTCACGTCGTCGTCTGCACGTGTTCGTGCCGCGAGAGGGCGACAGTGAGCAACGAGGGAGGAGGTGATTCTCCCGGGGAGGGGTGCGCTTGTAGACGCATCCACTGCGGTGTCGTCTTGCGGCCATCACGGCTTTTTCAGAACCCACATCGCCCATCCGGGCCTCTGCACGACGCCCAGCTCCCCGTCGGACCTCTTCACGTCGACCACCTCCCAGTTGGCGGTGAGATACTGCGCCAGCTTGGCGCTGTAGATACGGTTGGCGTTCCACACGAGGTATTCATCGTTCTGCTCGTAATACACGGCCAGCACGAACAGTCCACCCGTCCTAGTCACGCACCACGCTTGCGCCATCGCCTCGAAGTCCGCCCACGGGTTCAGCTGCTCGCCGTAGCGACCCAGGCCGAGCTGGCCGACGGTGAAGAAGGCGACGCCGACGTTGTACGTCCCCGCGTCTCCGGCCAGTGTCCACTCGGCCGCGGCGGCCGCCGGCGAGCGGCCGGATATCTGCGCGTGCTCGGTGGCGATCTCGTGCAGCGGGAGCTGGTACTCCACGCTGACCACGTGACGCGGGTTCATCGCGAGCAGGATCGCCTCCACCCACGGGTTCTTCTGCCCGAGCGTGAAGACGACAGCGCCCTCCAGGTGGCGCCTGTGTCCGCGCAGCACGCGACGGAGCGTCATCTCCGCGCCGACGGGCGCGCCTTGCATGATGGGAACTCCCCGCCACACCCGCTCGGTCAGCTCTCCCAGCATCTGCTCGGACACGACCAGAGCGCCCTCTCGCGGCCGGCGGTCGTTGTCGGGGAGGAAGTTGACGTCGCGTAGCGGGAGTTGGCCGTGATGAGTCATCTCGTCCATGAGTGACGTCGGCAGGAAGCGAGGCGGCGGGTAGAAGGCGCCGGGCGCTATCTGCCGCATGCGCCGCATCACGTCCGGACACTGGATGTTGCGCCGCATGAGCGGGTAGAAGCGGCCCGGCGCGCGGTCGCGCACGCGGAACGAACACACGTCACCGCAGCCAGACGTCGCCATCGTCGCGCCGCCGCTGCCGCCGCCGCCCTGTGACGTCATCACGATGATGGCGTAGGCGTTGAAGGTCAGCATGAACGCAATGGCGGCGGCGAGGAGTAGTGCGCGTGCTTGCCGCAGGAGGCGCGCGCGTCGCGACGGTGGCGACACGGCTGCATCTAGCGGCAGAAGCGTGGATTCCATCTGATGAGGGTAGCTGTGAACGAGTCGCCCACGCATCTGATGACGTAACACGACTGCTTGCCTGCTCACGGTACGGGGCAATGGTGCAGGCACATGCACGTGTACCCTTGACGTCCTAAACACAGATTACACTGTTGGAGTTACAACGGTGGCATCTATGTGCGCTATATATGTGTTAAAGAATGTATTCACAGCACTACATTCACAATATTAGCGACTACTATGATAGTCTAAACCAGTGCTTCTTAAACTATTTCAGTGCCATTCACCCTCGAGTCTTTATAACACAATTTCATTCACCTGCGACTAAATTTCCGTATGTTTTTGGTTTAATTCATCCCAACATAATTTCATTCCCCATGAGTGAACCATCTACCAGTTTCAGAAGCACTGGTCTAAACTATTATACACCTTGCATATATACACAAACCGGACCTAGACTCTTCCGGACTATTCGGATTATTCCGGGAGATTGGGTTGGAACATTTACTACTGCTTGTACAAACATACTATCCTTGTTCACATAACACAGCAAACCTATACACCGTATACAAACTGTGCACTATCTTCTAAGATATGAGCTGTAAACTATATAGTTGCGCGTTTCACAAATGTTGCCGAATAGGCAAATAGACAGTGAGAGCGGGAGAAAGAGAAAGAAAGAGCGAGAGAGAGAGAGAGAGAGAGAGAGAGAGAGAGAGAGAGAGAGAGAGAGAGAGAGAGAGAGAGAGAGAGA